TGTATTGACTGCAACTGTGCATTTTAGATTATGAATTGAGGCACTCTTCCAGAATTGAAAACACTGTTATAAAGCAACCGAATATTATCTTTTGGACGAATCTGTGCGTGGTCTATCCAGACAGGATAGAATAGCATTTATTTGTTGCCATTGGTTATTTTCCCTCATCCTTTATCAACTTCCTGATTTATTGTAATTTAGATTTGATTGACTGAAAAATTATTGGTTGGATAGCTGGGTGGTCATATTTGTTTGGGTAACAATGTACATTTGAATTTATAATTAATTTTAGAGCCGTCATTCTACTCAATCACTTTGTTTTTATTCCAACCGGACAACGGCGCGTATCTAACCCATCTAGACAGCTATCCTTCAGTCCAACCTTAGTTTGAATCTTACACTAGAATCCGCGTAAAAGGTGGAACCAGTTCAAGAGAAGCAATTTTGGAACGAAACCAAAACTTAGATGAAAATGGACATGTGTTAAAGATCTTCGTTTAAAGTTTAATGGCTAATGACCTATCGCATTCGTTGAGCCATTTATGTCGCCAAGCCATATGCTAGTCCAGTATTGTGGAAGAGTTCATCGAGCACTTGTCTATCAGATTCGTCTCCGATTTTGAAGGTGTCATTCTCCAAGGTTTTATGAGGTTTCAAAACATCATTAGCAAACGTACTAGATGTAAAATACACGTTGAACTCACAGTATAGTTCTGCCATCACTCTTAAGAGCTGGTCACATTAATCAGTCACGCTTCGATCGTGGAACAGGGTACCTGCATAGGAAAACCTTATTTTCATGTAATCCCATAGTTTTAGTGTTGGTGGACGAGGGAGTCATAATCCTAAAAATTTGGGTTAGTCAAGGTGTAGAATTTAAACTACTGTTTAGACTGAGGAATAGCCGATCAGGCAGGTCAGACACGCACCTTTCCCCGTCAAAATCAAAACAAGTAATCGGGCGAATAGCGGTTCAATAATTCATCATAAATTTAAATGTACATCGTCACCTAAAAAATACTACCACCCGGCTATTCAACCAGTAATTGTTCAATCAATCAAATCTAAATTACAAAAAATCAAGAAGTTGATCGGAAAAATTACCAGTCACAACAAATGAACGCTATCCTGTCCTGATTGGATAGGACACGCACAAAAGAAGGAGCAAATCAATATGGCTGCCATGGACATCTAACCCAAAAAAAAGACTTTTCAGCTATCTGATTTGCTTGTAACATGGACCTAGTAGAGACAGTGTATTCCGACTATGAGCTTTGATTAAAGCAGTATTCATACTTACCACAAACGTAAGAGAGCCTAACATCACAAAAGGAGGGAGGGTGGCGTTACTGACCAGCAAACATGAAGGTGGGGAGATAACTTCAATCCACCCATGTCTGTAGGGCAGAACATTTTGTTTAATTACGGCTCCTTATGTTTTAGTGGGCTGTCATGAACTTATGGTATTGATGCTGATTTATCACGCAAAATACCTCTTTAAATCGTGTCACGAACGTTGAATTGGTTTCACTTCCTACCCAGAAATCCTATTACAAGCAAACTAGACAATTCGCTAATATACGAAGCCTACTCAAGACCCTATAATACCTGAAAAAAATAATAATACAAAAAAACGAAAGGGGCTCTAGTAGCTTCGATAATTAAAGGAAGATAGCCAATTGTATATCACAATACTGTTTCTAGCACTATATTTTATTTTATAATCACACATAATCCCACACTCTCAGCTCCTTTACGAATCGCCTCCATTTGTCAGTTGTATGTCCACTCACACCTTGTTAACACTTATTTTCTTTAACCTATTAAAATGCTCTTTCTTAACAAATACCTTAATAAAAGAAAATTAGACTGAGTAATCATACCTTAAGCATTCCTTCAAGAATATTGGCTACTCTGCCTCTCGTGTTTTCTTTTACTTGCTCCCTCTTTCAGCCCCCTTGAGATATGGAACGGCTGACTTCATCCTGCACCATCCTTAAAGCCTTGGATATTCCAAAGGGACATAAGGTTGCAATTTCTAGAAGCTCATACCTTCAATGGACCTACCCTTGACCATCAGTCGCACATTCGCAACGCAACTTTCATGAAGCGCGCTAACTGTAGAACTGCTTAAAACCATCTACATTCATATCTTATAAATTATCAACCCAGCTATGTAATTTACTACAGTGAATATTGTATCATTTGTATCAATTTGATCTTGCCTGTAAACTGGCATTCCTCATGTAACAAACTGTTATTTGAGAATAAATTATTATTATTATTATTATTATTAAGAACAATTATCAAGTAAAGCAACGTAGATGCAGTTCGGGAAGAAACACAAAGAACTTAGTGAAGGCGTAAGAAAAATAAAACTGTGATAAAAAACACAAATATTAACAATTCAGATGTAATCAAAAACTAACAATGTACAACTAAAGGGATCAATAGGAACAAAGTGCAAGTATAAACATGGGGGATTTTCACACACACACAAAACATTTAAAACGGATCTCACACAAGGAAAGTTATGGGCAAAACGTGCAAATGTGCGGAAAAACCCAAGAACACGGAAACATGGAACTTCTGATATTTGGTACAAACTCGACGTATGCGTCCAAGGTCATTGTTTACACCAAGCGCTCTACGGGTCTACTTTATAACCACTACAAACTTAAAAACTTGTATTGCATAAACACTTAGTACAACCAAAATCCTAACACAATCGTGCAGCGATCAAATCTGGTGTGTGATGTGGGCGCAATGCCACTCTGGAAAATATTTTGAAGGCTACTCAGTATATTTGAACGAATGAATTGATAATCACTTTAGTAGATTATACTTATTTAACAAGCCTGCTTGGGATGCTGACTGTGAACCTATGAATGTTGTAATTTGTAGATCATGACTGTGTAGGGCCGGTGAAATTCAACTGAGCCCCAGCCAAATCGTCCTGCAGTTGGGTCACTGATTATCGAACAAATCATCGCTCCTCGTCTGGGTCAAAGACAACCAACGCGCGTCAGGTAATCGTACTCCATGGACTGGGCCATGCGGTAGTGGTCTTACCTTCGCTTGTATCTACTTTAACTAATCTATTTCTGTAATGACGTCTTTTGTGTTGTACAGTCTTCAAAGCATCTGTAGTATCTTGATACATCAATGGGATGTGACTTCGACGTTAGCTAGTTTGTCACACCATTCACATCTAACTCGAGCAGGTCTCCAATCATTTTGACGTAGACCATCTACGTTGGTGATATACACCACTATCCACTAAAATGTTTACTTTTTTGACCACGCTGGTGATCTACTGCTGTAAACTGGCGTGTACCTCATTATCAAGAACCCTGAAGACAGCTCTTACCTTCCCCTCAGTTTGCAGGACAAAAACAGTAGCTCGCATTAGTGAGAGTTTAACGTGACGACACAAAAAAAGGTCCAAACAAGCAAGATACCAATGCACAGAGCCAATAACGGAAGTCAAATTCTGAAATGAGCTACCGGCTGAGCTAGTCCAAGTGACTTCCTAGGAGCGTTTGAGAGTCACTCCGTTTGGTCTAACTCGAGAGTGACGTAAAGATTTCAATACAACTTTGAATACAAGTTGGTTTCTACGCACTCCTTTATAAAATCAACATTTGTCATTATCTCACTGAGCCTTTCGCAATACTCCAGATACTCGTTGAGAGCCTTTAACGCAAATGTTTGCTCAGAGCGTTTCAATATAGTGAAAATTCCCATTTCGCCATTTGGTAAATAAAGAAGGAACAAACTGAGCGGAAAAATTTCTTTTCAATTAGTTTTTGATCAAGGCTCTGCACTAATATATATATGATTTACAATAACGATATAATACTCCTCAAATGGATACGTTACGTAACAATTACATGATTACATTTCTTCCAATTACTCAATGTTAATTTAAATGTCATTATGTAATTATTACGTAACGTATCCACTCGAGGAGTATTATATCATTATTGTAAACCATATATATATTAGTGTAGAGCCATGATGAAAAACTAATTGAAAAGAAATTTTTCCGCTCAATTCGTTCCTTCTTTATTCACCAAATGGCAAAATGGGATTTTTCACCATATTGACTTCCTAGGAGTCCTCCAGAAAGGAAAGTTGACATTTTCCTAAGGACTAAAGACAGTATCTCACTATTATTGACTGATATTTTTTTCAGAGGGGCCTTTTGTGAAGACTGTGATAATTTCATAGTTCAGTTCACGACTCGAGTAAAGCTAGATCACCATGGAGAACCTGGAATAACTGGGCGGTCGTTTTGCCCTAAAATCGGACTCCTCAGCAGTGCACATCCACGATCCCGCCCGCAGGATTAGAACCCAGGACCTTCGATCTCGTGCATGAGGGCATAACATTAACGCTGTTGGATAGCAGCTCAGTGGCCTAGAGTACAATCAAAACGACGGAACGGCCCAGTGATTCCAGGTTTTTCATGGTCGTCTAGCTTCCATTGACTTATGAACTCAACTACTAAATTATTATTTTTTCTGTTAAACATACGTTGGTTTCCACTTAACGATATCGGTGATGCACTGCTACAAGTTACTGAACCCGTTAAGTGGGTGCTTTTTTATTCTGTCCAGAGACAGGAAAGGCGCGATAGTTAGTAACTATCGCCCCGTTAGCTTTACTACTGCAGTTGTAAAACTGATGGACAAAGTTATTCGGATAGCTGTCATAAACTATGTGGAAGGGCATCATCTTCTATCCAGGGAACAACATGATCTTCGGAGAGGCTTATCATGCTCGACAAATCTCATTAAAAGAGAAGATGCAAAAGATCGGAATATTCCTGTGGATGTGAGCTTCATAGATCTAAGTAAGGCCTGATAATTTGAGAGGACATTCCGAGAAATTCCGAAAACGGAGATCAAATCGTCTTCGTCTGGAGTTTCGTTTTTCTCACCGAGTAGTGAATTGCTGGAATTTTCTACTAAAACACGTAATATCCGCACCTTCTGCTGATATATTCAAAACGAGATTTGACCTCCACAGTGCTACAAACTGTGAGGAAATAATATATGTCGATGGACCTCCTATCCTTATTAGTGAAGACAGAAACATTTGCTCATCGAATTTTTAGCGTTTCTCTACTTTGTCATAAATTGAAATACTGCGTTACAATTCGACGTCATGATATCTATGCAGGACGTAAGAGTATGGGCTGAAAAACACAATCTGTACATGGTAGTGTTGAATTCCCTATAAATATTTTCAAAGGATTTTGTGGGTCAGAAAAACGCTGAGAGATGTATGAACCTAATGATTATTACATTTCTGGTCAGGTTCTCTACTTTCATCTTTATACGTAATTGTCTGTAGGTCATAGCACTTCCAGTTGGATATTACAAACAACAGTTGTCTGACAGCGTTTTAATACTATTATTCGGCTGTATACTCACGGCTCTTGCTGTACTACCACCATGGCCATGTTACCATAAAAATCCAATTGACTGGTATCATGAAGAAACTAAAAGCAACAAAAAAACAGACTGATTTTCCATCTATATCTTCCAATTCCTCTGTTATTTTACTTCTTTATAAGTAACTAATAAATTTGATTTCTTTTGAGATCAACGATGGTTATGACTCCTACTATGATGGATTGTATTATAGTAATACATATACATGAACTTAGAACTGGGATCGTTTTCACGCATGGTGTATATGGTCCGGGTATTCGTGGTGATTTTCTCATATTCCGTAAATAGTTCTTAAACTACGCCTTAATGTATTAGATTTTTCATCAGTGCGTGAGACGTCAGTGTTCAACAAGCTTATTGTGTATTCCGTAGGGTATTCGAAATCCTAATATTTTAAAGCCTTTGTTCCCATTATCAGTCCTAATAGTGTGACGTAGAAGAATGCTAATGCTATTTCATCCAGTATATTTCTTGTGTAAGATTCCTGTTTGAACCTAAAACTAAGTTTTTAAATCCATTACAATCGCATTACAGAGGCAAACAGACAATCTTTCCTGGTCCATATGAAATTTAATACTGTCCGTAACTGGTGAAAGTAGATAGTCCATTTGCCTCATTCGAGGTTTTAGCTTTTTTTATTGTACACGGATCGTATTTCTTACGTCTTAGTAAAACGGGTCACAGTATAGGGAAGTCACAACACTGTATCTTTCAAATTATTCTCCTTTTAATAGGAATAAGCGTAGGCATCAGTCGGGAAGTCTACGAACTTAGCATCAAGCCATAATGACTGCCATTTCTACACTGTACATCTGATCGAACTTGAATGTGATCTTAAACTTTATAGTAAGTCCAAAACGTATGTGATTGTATAAGTTTCCGCTGGATAGTAGAGGCAGGATGACTTTAATAGGTGCACCAACGTCTTTGTGGATTACAATACAGTCTACCATTAATATGTTCAATGAAATGCAAAATGTCATTGGAGACTTGTGCAAGTAGAGCGTGCTCATTAGATACAAGTAACCTGGAATTTAAGACATTGAGTTTAAGTAAGAGATATCTGGATTTCAAAGTAACTATAGTTGGTTTCGCTCATGTATGATGCGATCGTAGTATAGCACACCGGAAATGCCCCACACTCAGGACAATTGCTTTGACATTAGTATAATGTGGCCGCAACTTGAACCGGTGTACACACGTACAGGCTCTACGTCGTGACTGCCTGAAGGTGGTCGTGCAAGTCAACTGAAATGCGATAGACTACGTTAGCATCTTCATATAATTCATTTTTATTCGTTTCATTAGTTAAGGGTTATGTTTCTATATTAACACACAAGTAAATGCTTAGTCATTTTTAGGATCCGTAATCCTCACTAACTGGATGTTTTTATCCTGATAACATTTAGGCTTTGCTTACTTAGACCTGTTACTCCTCGTGGAGGAGCATAGGCCACCCACCAGCACTCCCCATCCAACCATTTTCTGGACAATCCTTTTCCAGCTCTTCCCAACTGTTATTATTCTTTTTCATATCTGCTTCTATTTCCCGACGTAATGTGCTCTTTGGCCTTCCTCTTTTCCGCTTCCCTTCAGGATTCCAAGTTAGGGCTTGCCTCGTGATGCAGTTTGACGATTTGCGTAATGTATGTCCTATCCATTTCCATCGTCTTTTCCTAATTTCCTCTTCAGCTGGAAGTTGGTTTGTTCTCTCCCACAGAAGGCTATTGCTGATGGTATCCGGCCAATGGATGTTGAGTATCTTGCGTAGACAGCTATTTATAAATACTTGTACTTTCTTGATTGTGGTTGTTGTAGTTCTCCAAGTTTCAGCTCCATACAGTAGAACTGCCTTGACGTTCGTATTGAAGATTCTCACTTTGATATTGGTTGAAAGTTGTTTTGAGTTCCATATGTTCTTCAATTGTAGGAATGCGACCCTTGCTTTGCCGATCCTCGCCTTTACGTCTGCATCTGAACCTCCTTGTTCATCGATGATGCTTCCCAGGTATGTGAAGGACTCTACATCTTCCAGAGTTTCGCCATCAAGAGTGATTGGATTGCTGTTCTCCGTTTGAATTTGAGGACCTTGGTTTTCCCTTTGTGTATGCTGAGGCCTACTGATGCAGAGACTGCTGCTACACTGGCTGTCTTCATCTGCATCTGTTCGTGTGTACGTGATAGGAGGGCTAGGTCATCTGCGAAGTCCAAATCGTCTAATTGATTCTGAGCTGTCCATTGTATTCCGTGTTTTCCTTCAGATGTCGAGGTCTTCATAATCCAGTCGACCACCAGAAGAAAGAGGAAGGGAGAGAGTAAACAGCCTTGTCTGACTCCGGTCCTTACTTGGAATGCATCTGTCAGCTGTCCTCCATGCACTACTTTGCACTGTAGTCCGTCGTATGAGTTCCGGATAATGTTGACAATCTTCTCAGGAACTCCGTAGTGTCGAAGAAGTTTCCATAATGTCCTCCTATCTACACTGTCGAATGCCTTTTCATAATCAATGAAGTTGATGTATAGTGATGAGTTCCACTCAACTGATTGTTCGACGATGATCCGTAGTGTTGCAATTTGGTCTGTGCACGACCGATCCTTACGGAATCCAGCTTGTTGATCTCGAAGTTGGGCGTCTACTGCATCCTTCATCCGGTTCAGCAACACTCTGTTGAAGACTTTCCCTGGTATTGACAGTAGTGTAATGCCTCTGTAGTTTTCACATTTGCTCAGATCTCCTTTCTTTGGAATCTTGACGAGGTGTCCTTCTTTCCAGTCCATCGGCACTTGTTCCTCCTCCCAAATCTTTTTGAATAGAAGGTAAAGCATGCTTGTGGTTGCTTCGATGTCTGATTTCAGTGCTTCAGCTGGTATGTTGTCGGGTCCTGCTGCTTTCCCGTTCTTGATTTGTCTGACGGCCATTCTAATTTCTTCCGTCGTTGGTGGGTTGACATCTATAGGAAGATCTATGTGTGCTGCTTCGATGTCCGGTGGATTCATTGGAGCCGGCCTATTCAGGAGTTCCTCGAAGTATTTTACCCATCTGTTACGCTGTTGTTGAATTTCGGTGATTGGCTTGCCTTCTTTGTCTTTGACCGGCCTCTCTGGTTTACTGTATTTCCCTGCTAGTTTCTTCGTTGTATCGTGAAGCTGTTTCATATTTCCTTCTCTAGCAGCTTTTTCTGCCGTCGTTGCTAGTTCTTCCACGTATTTCTTCTTGTCGGCTCTAATGCTCCTCTTCACTTGTTTTTTTGCTTCTATGTATTCAGCTTGTGCTTGGACTTTCTCTGCTCGTGTTCGGCTGTTGTTAATTGCTGCCTTCTTGTTCTTCCTTTCTTTGATCTTGTCCAGTGTTTCTATAGAGATCCATTCCTTATGATGGTGTTTCTTTAGGCCCAGAACCTCTTGACACGTTGAAGTTAATGCTTCCTTGATGCCTTTCCAGTTGTCCTCCATAGTAGTTTCTTCTTCATTCAGTAGATCTTGTAAGGCTTGGAACCTGTTGTTGAGAGCTATCTTGAATTCATTGAGTTTGTCAGTATCTCGAAGGAAGGCTGTATTGAACCTTTGTAGTGCTGTTTGTCCAGTCCTTCTTTAGCTTCAGTTTTAAATTGGCCAAAACTAGGTGGTGATCTGAAGCTATGTCAGCTCCTCTCCTATTTCTCACATCTTCCGTTGTCCTTCGGAATTTCTTATTGATGCAAATATGATCTATCTGGTTCTCTGTAGTGTGGTCCGGTGAGATCAATGCAGCTTTGTGTATAAGTTCGTGTGGAAATATTGTGCCGCCTCCTTTGTTTTGATTGATGCTTTGATGATTCTAGATCCGTAAGATTCCAATCTTACAGGTGCATTTCGTGCTACTTTGGACAACATTAGAGCAACTCCCTGAGTGTATGGATTAGTTTCCTCTTCGTGGCCGGATTATAGCAGCATCTCTCCCGTATTTAGCCTTTGTTGTCCAGCTTGGGTCCAGTGAGTTTCGCTGATTCCCAGTACTGCCAAGTTGTATCTCCTCATTTCCGTTGCTATTTGACTGGTCTTCCCGGTCTCCCACATTGTTCGGACGTTCCATGTACCTGTAAAAATTGTTGCTCTGGTTGTTAGGAGGGGCATCGGCCTCGTGACTTCCGAAGGAACTCAGCTTTCACCATGAAGCGTCATAATTCTTCTAAATAAAGATCTTCTAACTCCCAGGGTAGAGTTTAGATGGTTTGAATTATTTTTCTGGTTGGCGTTTTTTTAGCGAGTTAGTTTTCTACGGGATGGGGTCGCTAACCTCATGCCCAACCTTCCTCCTTTACCCGGGCTTGGGACCGGCAGTAACTCTAGAAGAGCTACAGGCGAAGTAACCAACTTTAATGAATTAAGTTTGCATACTTCAGGAATTTTGACAGCCATCCATTAAAAAGACATAAGCTGAAAAAGAAATAACAATCCGTTAAGCTCCCATAACCGATAGATTTTAACCTCATCAAAGACTAATTTACCTAACGACTTACGGTTAACCTCAATTTCGCTCAATGATCCAAGAATGGAAGCCCCTGTTAAGGACCCATTACTCATGAAAACCCAACAAGTGGTTTTGAAGCAAGGAATTCACTGTAATCTGATAAAGATATTAATTGCCCATATCACCGCAATAAGACTTTTCAATTTAGAAATTCTCACCAAGTATATTATGAGGAGCAGAGTTGTAGAGGGCTGAAATTTATACATTAGTTTTGCGACTACAAGCACCCCAAGTTTTGCTGTTAAAATGTTCGGTTACTGGGACCAATTAGTTGTCTATTGCTCCCCCTCATTACATTAAATTGAATCCGGTATATCATGTAATGAGTAATTCACATCAAATCTAGAATTGGACTCATCTGATACACAAAATGGTAGGATGGCTCTGGGGATTATAAAATAAACGAATAAAAACTTAGTATGAGGATACAAAATGGAAAGGACTGTACTATTTTCACTGTTGGGTACTATTTTTAAAGTCGATAGGAATCTTACTAACTGAAAACAGTGCGTTTCAGAGCAAGGATTTTGTAGTGAAAGTTTCTTTTATCTCTTGAACAAGGCTTTCGCGTAGATTTCAGACACCGTATATGCACAAGTGTCTCTCAAAATCATTGACTAGCGGTTGGATATGTAAGCCCTATGGTTCGTCTGTTTGAAAGTTCCGAAGTATTATGAAACACGTTGGGTGCTTTATCTGTCTATCTATCTTGAAATCGGTTGTATTAGCACAGATGTACTCACACCTGGTTTTCCTCGAAATTTTAAATTTTAGTTTCCCTACGCTAAACTAGTTCTAACCATTCGAGTTCAGAAAGTGTTATTTCTGGTCTGCTGAAACCGCATCTAAAGCTTCGTGCCGCCGTTCGAACCATATGTTGAAACGGACAACAGTATTCACTGAGATCTAGACCAGTAGACAAACAATGAGTCTTCAAAGGTCGCATATTGGATCCAAGTGTGGTCATTAACCTGACCTCAACTAGTCAGTTTCCAGGATCAAACAGAATTACCTGTTATGTCTGGAGAACTAATCAGAAGAGGCCATTGTGGACTAGATTCCGATGGACAACCGACTGTACACTGACCGACTAAACGGAACATTAAGAAGTCAGAAACATGTGAATACATGTGATTGTCTTCGGTCTCTGACTAAGCTCCCACTAACTGCGATTGTGGTAGGGGAAAATATCATTTCTATGGAGTGATTCTTGACCTCTGCCACAGAACCATATGGTCTGCAGCTAAGCACTAATATCAGACGATTAGGAGGGGAGATCGACCTAAGCCCCCAAATCCTAACGAAGTTGAAATGTTTATAGCTGACCTGGAGCCAGGGAGAGCATTGGGACCTGATGGGTTGACTCCAGAGATCCTTGAGAATAGTGACCCACTTTTAACTGGCCTGGGGGGTAATTTCACTTGATTTGTTTCGACCGCCCATCGTCTGATTTTATAGGAAGTGACAGAAACCCTTTTTGATAACCACAGAGTGGTCAGTTTGAACAGTATCGTGCCTAAAATATTAGCTACATTGATCATTCAATGCTTAAATACGGCATGTGAACGAGCTTGGGGGAACTAAGTTGTTTTTCGACCTAGACTTACCGATCAAATATACACCAAGTTTTGGGACAATGATGCTTATTGAAATCCAACAATAGTGGTGTTTGTTGATCTGAAGGTACCATTTGATTATGTTGGCGGGATGTCTTGTAATAAAAAGGTGCGCTGGGGAAGCACATAAAAATTATGAAGGCTCTTTACTCGAGTCACAACTTATGGGCAGTTGTTATTAGCATTGTTAACCCCAAGGAGTGTTCCTCAGGCCGATCAACTTCCCCTATTTCTGTTAAACGTCACAATAGGCATATTTATAGCAATAACACTTTAACTCTTCAATAATTGTTTTGGTAGACAAATTTGTAGACTTGGAGTACAGAAGTGTCGTAGTTCTATTCAGTGAAGACTGAAAACATGCACTGCCTTTTAATCAACTTAGACGACGATATACGGAGGCTCGAAATAGGTTTCTCTCGCTAAATGCAAAATGTTCCCTGAAGACTGGTTTCTTTTAACAGCTAATGATGAGGGATGAAGTAACAGAAAGTGTCGACCGCTTCAACTATCATGGTAGTTTCATAATTCCTAGTAGGTCTGACGAAATGTCTCGACACTGATCTAGAAATCTTGGTGTGGTTATGCATCTTTCACCAACTGCAGTGGAGAGCTGACTGTCTGCTAACCAAAGGACGACTATACTGTCCAGCAGTTCGCTCTTTTTAACCTTATGACTGTGAGAAGTAGTCTTTAGAAATAGAGAACATCCGTAAGTTGCTAGTGTTTGATCCAAAATATCTTTGAAGCAATGCTTGCGTATGTTGGGACCTGTAGGTGATTAGACGCAGAGTACTGGGGAAAGATAGTAATTTAGTTGATATGATTGAGAATCCTCGTCAAGTAAGGGAGTTAAAACACATATTACATACACCCAGAAGCTGCCTACGCCGAAGTGTGATGTTTGCTGATGGAGTAAGATGACAGAAACTCAGGGACAGCCAAACTGAAAACGTATTAATCCATGAATTGTTTGACCACTAAACTTAGCCATGCTGATAGATACAGGCTATTTGGTTGAGGTTCGCACGATAACGGTAGTCAGTGGCTGGAGACGTTGGGTAACATGACTCAGAATGAGCCACAATGTACCAGCTATATTCTCTATTGATCTTCTTATCGATCTTGAATTCCAATACTACCTCAAATTGTAGTGAAACGCTCTCGAGATAATTCCTATGCGTCATACATCACTAATATTGGTAACAATTATTAGATAATTCTTAACGGTGCATCAATTTAGAGAAGACTATACAGAGCGACGATCAGTTTATCATTGCATAGTACAGTTCGAAAGGCCACAAGTACACAGAGAATACGAACAAAATGCGAATGAATGGGATTTAAGAATCACATATATGTAGGTAGGCGAATGTGTCATTGAGCAATTTAAGCCAGTTTGAGGAATATAGAGTAAGCTGTAACATGTGATTAAGCATACATGAGCACAGAAACATGGAGATAATGGCTCAAAGATATGAGCAAATTGTTGCCGACATAAATAGCGCTGTCTACTAAATAAGTTAGTCAAAAGGATTTGTAGATTTTGGTACCATGTCAAGCCCACATGCGTTATTTTATCTTACAGACAGACCACTTTGTTTCTTCTTGAGTCAAATTTTGATCTTGTCAATAATTTGCTTATTAACATTGATTGTTTTTATATGAGCGCATATGTAGGCATTGTATATCTTATCCACTACTTGCCTGTAGCTTATTTTGATCTGACCATAAATATTGAGTCACGTTTGATAAAATTCAGTTGACTCACTTGCCTTATCCGCTCCGCCTTCCCGATTTTTGCTCTGAAGATCTGGTTGGATAAGCGAATGCTTGGAATAAATTCATCCAACGTAAGACTTATTATCGCGGAGTTAGACTAGGTGATGTACGAAGTTAAATGGAAGATTTATGTACATAGCATATTTATATGTTCATCCAAATCCGAGTTAGATACTGGGCCACAAAAGCTTATTACATTTAAACGTGCACAAACCCAAGCGAAGATGGGGGTGTTATAACATATATATACTTTCACTCGGTCCTTTCGAACACCATTCTCAATACTTAGTCTTTATTGTTATTGATATTAAATTATTTCGATCTCTTCAGGTATAAATCTTGTTGATTTCATCTCGTCATTATGAAGCAGTATGGTAACTTGGGTCAATGAACATTCATAACAAGCTTTACATTGATGATGACTGATTGACTGCAGGTCCTATGTTATTTGTGACTGATTGAAATTTACTCGTCATAGTTAAATGGTGTCTATTACAAAAAAATATATTGTTTATCCATGGGCCGACCTTTTAAGCTGTTCACGGACATACATATTTGTGATTTAAGTAATCTTTTTGGTTAGTTGACGCTGTTACTAAATCAATCACTGCAGGTGACTCAACAGTCTTCGGACTGTAATACTGAGGATTTATATAAGAGCTGATTAATCACTGGTTCAGTAGTGACTAGTGTGATGTTTATTACTTCCTGTTAGTACTATTTGAATTCCACCGTTCAAATTGCGATGTGTCTAAGTGAACTGGGATTACATGAGCTATACTGAGTTGTTAGGTTGTTTGATGCACTCAATAGGGAATATTTCTCGACCAGAGATTTTGACGGGAATGATGTTTCCTGAGAGATGGGATTGTACATCACCCAGTTCCACAGTTTGAGACATTATCACCGATTAGAGATATACATTACTGAAGTGTCAAATAGCATAAGCCCTGGGTCCAGGGATTCCTGCTGACTGCCTCCAGTTACCTAAAAAACCGTTAAGTCATAGTTACACACACGTTAGGTGTTATCGTTTAATATTCCTATAGGGATTAAGGTACTAAGAGAGGAAGTTACGTTTTGTTTTGTTCATTTGTATCAGTCAGTACAATTCCCACTTGTGGTTCCATTAATATACTCAGTCGTATCAAAGTAGAAGACTGTGCTACTTGTAAAGACAATCTATACTGCTCTACGTAACAATCATTTATAAGAACATTCATTAGAATTTAAACGAAAAGTTTTACGGAAATCGAGTACCGAGTAAGTAGAAGGCATTAAAAATAAAAATTATAATCTCAATGGTTTATGTTTGAATAATTCCAGGGTTTTCCTGAAGCAGATCGGATCAGTGAAACGAGCAAAATGTTGGTATTTTAACCGCTAAAATTATTTGAAACACAATTTAATAATAATTGGGTGAAATGTTTTTTTTTTCTTTTCAAAAAGTGTACAAGCGAATCATTCTTCGTAGGTATACACAACACGAACAATTTGCTTTTACATGAATAAATTAAAACTAAACGTGACCTGAATTATTAATTTAGAACAAAATTTTTCATCCCGCTTACATGGGAACTTACACTTTTGGGACAAAAAATATCAAAAAAACAAACAATTATACACACATACAAAGTAAATATACAAAGGTGGAAATTAATTACCACAAACTTTGTTTATATTTCCTCACAGAAATTATGTCATCGATTTATTTGCGTAAAACAATAGGGATTTGTAATCATGAACATCATCATTATATTCAGAAATAAATGGTGAACTTATTCGATGTGATATGCACAAACTGTTCGTTGAAATCACATCGCATTACACCACTTTAACTATTGATATGCAAAAAAATGGACAGAATGAACCATACAAGAAAGCATTGTGTAAAAAAAGAAACCTGAATGATGATCACTTTTAAAAGATCATTTCTTCTCGGTAGATGATTTAATTTCTTTCTGTGCAATAACGTAGACTGCGGTAATTGTTTCTACGTGACTTAGGTTCACTTTTAGGTCCTTGTCGAGAGAAGGAATTACGTCGAGTTTCATTCGTAAATCTGTTTATAGTAGTAGTATTCTTAGTTAAGGTAGTTTCAGTTTGAAATGTTGATAGGTAATCATCACCAGTGATACGTGGTCTTTTTTTACATAATCTATTGTTGTGTAAGAAAAGGAAATAAAAAACGAAAATTAGGAAATTTACCGATTTATAATTAAGATCAATGCATACTGCTATATACATGCAGGTTATTTATAGGTGAATGATCAATATGGAATAATTGTTTTCAGTGTGTTTGAAGACCTTAGGTGACATAACTAAAACGAAGTGAGTATAGTGGGGTGATTGGATTCACGTTTTCCTATTTTCTATTAAATCCTATGCTCTGACAACAACCTTTTCATTACTTCATTTCAATCGATATTCTCGTGGTAAGATTTTTTTATTACATGATAATATGGAGACCATATTATTTACGATTTACATGTACCAAGAGAGAGATAAAAATTCCAGTTCTTAACATCAAACAGGGAATATTTAGTCTTTTACTAACATAAGCACTACTATTACATTTGATCATGTTATTTCAATGTAGGTAGTGATATATTTTCTTTTATATGACAATAATGAGGTTTGATAGAAATACCATTTAAATTGGTTTATAACTGATTAGTGACCAACGTCATGTTTGTCTAGTCTGTAGTGTCGATTGAGTTCTTTAGATTCGATTGCAATTTAGCCAATGGTCTGGATATCGCATGGACTATGCTTTGATATCTGCAGACAAATTGAGTGTCAACTAATACGAAACCTAGGTCCGGGGTACCCGGGTGAATGCTTTAAACAACTTGACATGATTAACACCAGTTGAAGATAAAAATGACTCCATCAAGTGACTGTAATGCTGGTATAAAAATGATACAGGCGTTCATATGATTGAACTTTTTTTAAAAAAGATAGTAGAAACGATTTCAGGTTGACAGGTTAAGTGCTTTTCTTATTCACTCTATACTTTATTTTATAATTTACGACGAAAACACACGTAGAAAGATTAACATAGTTACAAAAACAGAAATTTCTAAAATGGATAAATCATTATTAAGCCAATCATAATTTTGAAGGTGATATAATAATCATAGGCTAAAAGCCATTAAAACGTACATTCTTTGTTCATTAATCTGTTCATCAGAATCAGTAAATGAACTACTGGAATTTGATCCATACATTGTCATACTATAACATTTTCTTGACTTTTTACTATATGGTTCTTCCGACTCATCATCATCATCATCTTCGCTAGCGCTACATGTTGGTGATGTTTGGGGTGTATAAAAAGTTGAATTCAATGACGATATAGGTCTTTTACAACGACGTGATGACCACCAATGACGTAAATGACCATCAGAACCAAAAATACGCATAAATGAACGAACAACTTCATGTGAAATATCTTCTAATTGATCAACAAATTCACGACGTTTACTATCAAAATTTTGAATAAAAGTAGAACCACGTTTCATCATGTTTTCAAGATTATCTTGTAATTGAATACTTTTTTCCTACATAAATTTAATTAAGGAGAAAAGAAGGGATAAAATGATATTCATTTAAAGAAGAAAAGTAATGTATTAAATTACATCATTAATAGTCATTTAAAGAAGAAGAATCTAGGGGCATTTATTAAAATTTTAATTGCATGTATATTCAGCTGACCAGGTTAAAAAAGGAGCATACGACACCGTGAATTTCACTAGCTACTAACTCAACTTAAAGTGGTTGCAGTTTAATGGCAATGTTGAGACAATACGAACAAATATTCTAAAAGAGATTTGATCAATTTTAGTCTTTCACACTAACAACAAGATTCAAACGACAATTACAAATGAAATAGTGATATAATCTTTAAAAAAATATTAACTTCATGTAATCGTAAGATATTTAGATTTTCCCCATTTTGAAATCGTGGAGATTTACAACTCTGGAGGATCATTTTGTTAGTTACCGATGATGTTATTGTCTAGAAGGAATAATGAAAACTTTACGATAAAACCGTCTTATTTCAAAGAAGTAATTCTGCCAAAAATTTACTTTAATGAGTAGTGAAAACAGCAGGTGCTTGTAGCCCGAAAACGTTTTTTTAAATATCTTGTTGCTTTATTACTAATGATTGAGAAGTGGTTGAAATACCCAACTTCTACGATATTATTTAAGTATAAACAAGTAGTGACTGGCGTAACATAATTTTGTCGATAAGAGGGATGTTAGGTAACAGCATTGAAAAAATCATAATATTAATTCACTAACATTGACAGATTGAACATTTCTCTTCTGACATTGACTTGGTTAAATATGCGCTGAAGAACAATTCGCTAGTGAAATTATGAGGACAGTGAATGAGCGAACACTATCATTATTAAATGTATGAATTATTTGATATGTTTGAATGAATTTTGATCAATCTTTTTTCTCATACGTGCATCCTGTAAGAATAAACCTCGATAGAGCCGTTTGTCACAAGCTTTTAATAGATAGTGTAGATGAATTGTGGGTAGCAGTGGAATTCAGGATACACTCATCTGAGACATAAATCTTTACTATCATTCGAAAAATATTTTGAGTCTGTTTCACTAGGCGCTAATCTTAGTTCGAAGCACATATATGTGTCGTAAACCTGCTTACTATTTGAGATACATATACTTTAATTTTTAAAAAAAGTTCTGAAATAAGCCTTATCGTGATACGTGATTTAAGAAATTCAACGTTTACTTATGGAAGTATAATCCGTTTATTATCTAAACTTTATATATATATCACCTATAAATTGTAAAGATAGGTGAACTTCATTTGACCTGAATGAAAATACAAAACTCTGAGAAATATGATTCAATGATGTTTGGATTAAATACTAATACTACTACTGCTACCAATAATAATAATAATGGTCATCGTCACATGCTGTCTATACATGTGATAGGGTTATTAATTCATTACTGTCATGACGAAAAAAGTATTTCAGGATTACTTGTTTGTGAAGCTGAATTTTAATTTCAGGTCAACTAAAAACACAAAAATAGATGTAGGATGGAATAGAATTTTGGATAGATTAATAAAATACCCTTACATTTACGTAAAAAAGTTTAGGCAGAGAAGTATAGTGGCTAACAGTGGAGTCAAGGATGCACATATAATTCTATTTGGGATTCTTTGGCTGGATCCCACAGTTGACGTTAACTCCTGAATTCGAACTTAGTAACATTCGCTTCAAACGTCATCGCGTTATTCAGTTAGTTACTGAGTCCAGTTAGCCACTGGCTTGTGCGATGGGGGGAATTTTAATATATATATATTAGTTTTTCACACTTGACAGTTTATTTTGTAGATGACATTTGGTTTTTCTTCAATTGTCAATCCGTCCTTAGGTGCGCATTGGATTGATTGAAGTGATTTTGATGGTTTGTGTGTTACACCTATTACAAACAGCTTCAATAATCTCGTAATTTCTGATAGGTCTTTTAAATATGGTGAGATGATCTGTTTGGTGGTTTTTGTACTTGATTTCTCTTCTACTGATGAGTTGGGTTGATATTTCTTGATGAAGTTGCATAGACAGCCGTTCCTTTGAAAATTAGTCTTTAGATATTTTTCATCATTTTTCCGAGCTGCAAGTGTCCTTACCCTCTTAAGTAAACTTAGTACGCAATTGATTTTGTGAATTCCTGGGTTGTTGCTACTGTAATTGAGAATTTGATTCGTGTGGATCTGTTTACGATAAACCTAAGTTTACGGTTTCCCTGTGTTGGTTCTGGTGATTAGTACATGCAAGAATGGTAGTTTGTTGTTTGACTTCTTTTCCATTGTGAATGTTTTATCATTGAAGACATGTTTGCAGTAGCGATGATAGTGAAAGCTGGATCCAGAGAATACCGTTTTTAAAGGCAGAAAGAAACGACATGTATGAAGGAATACTGGAGCTCAAGATCTAGATGAACAGTAAATACATGTGGACAACTGCAATCTATTCGGAGTCAAATCACCAGAAGTTTTTTAGCATCTCAGCAGTTCACCTGCAAAGTGATTAACGCTCAGTGATAATAAATGAGTACTAACTAAGTTTTAAAAACTATACTTTTTTAAAGTGCAATGAAATAAATTAAGATACATAATACATAGGAATTTACTACTACATTTAAACGTGAAAGTTAGTTCGACTTTTAATACTTGATATAGGATTAACCAATAACAGACTCATTAATTTCAGTTACCTAAAGTCTCGAAATAAAGCACGCAATATCAAGCCACTTAGACTAGAATCCACACTACCACTTAATCGACACGATTCAATCGTCAATATGACACTGATCACTACTAACTACTAACCTTTAATTGTAACTCTAAATCCTACTTCTAATTCCTCATATTAATTTATAACTCTCTTCTGATCCTGGTAAGTAGGTGAGTTGCTTCAAGGTCAATAGCGCTGCTCAAAAGTTGTTCATAAATTATAATCCGGCCCATTAAATCATAATAATGAAAACTGATTGAATTGGTTAAGCAACATGTAAATTTTAACGTATTTTAAATAATAATAAGATTAAGTACAGATATAAATCTATACAAGAAAGAAAACATGTGATTAAAACACGCTACATCAGTAGTTGGATAAACTGAAATGAGAAAAAAAGAACTGGGTTTGTATTTCTTAAAAATAATAATAAGAATTTGGACAAGATGAAAGTCAATAGTGTACAGATAGTTTGTTTACAACGTGATCAATGGTACAGAATCATCACTAGTATCGCTACTACTAGTGGGAGTATTCGTATCGGAAGAAATATTGTTAACATCATAATTAGTAACATTATTTCCATTTAATAAATAAAATCCAGAATCTTTTAAAATACCAATTAAACATTGTGATGTTGATAATGAATGTACTGATGATATACAAATATTCACATTTAATAACCATAATGTTAATGGTTTTTGATTGATAGTAGTACAATGAATTTCAAATAATTTTTCAATTGTATTCAATGTTGATTGTGGTGATAGAAATGTAATGGAACAAGATGAATTTATAAATGGATGAAGTGTACAAGACCAATTCACTTCATATGCATTCGTTAATTGATTAAAATTACTAGTTCTTACAAAATGTGGATAAATTAAACAAGATAATATGTCGAAATGATTCATTTGATGAATAGTATGATCTGATGGTATAGTACAATGTTTATGCATTGCTAATTGACAACTAATTGCAAATAAATTACAGAGAACACTTTTGATTGATGACAATCAATGATACATTGTGGAACAACAACACTTATTCGATAAGTTACAGTATAATTAAATGAATTATTTAATATATTTTTATCCATATCCGATAGTAATTTTGACATTAATAAATGTATTATATAAGGTAATTGTAAAAGATTTTTAATGTCATTAGAAGATAAACATTTATACCAGTTAGTTTTGATTACATGGTGAAATAATTCCCCTAATTTATTCAGATTTACGGCACCTTCTAAACCTAAATCCCAATTAGATAATTTACCATTTACTAATAATAATAAACGACTAGTATGTATAGCGGTACGAATTTGTGCTTCACAACTAATTTCATTTAAATGAGGTGAAGCAATCACATTAGGATGTTGTAATAATTTATCCATAATGCAATTTGATGATGATGAATGGATTAATGGTTCATTTTCAAAAACATCTAATGCTGCACCACAACAATGACCAGATTCTAATGCTTCTAATAAAGCAATTTCGTCAATAATACCACCATTGGAACAATTAATGATTCTAATGCCCGGTGAACAGATAGACAATGTTCTAGAATTTATAAGATGCTTAGTTTCTGGTGTTAAAGTAACATGTAGTGTAAGATAATTTGATTCACTTAATACACTGTCTAATTCCATAACAGCATCTAACCAATCTGGTAAATTAGTATTATCGAAATTATGATTTGGATCATAACCAATGATACGCATACCAAATACTTTCATTCGTTGACCAACAGATGAACCGATTTCATTATTAATACCTATAATGCCTAAAGTTTTTCCAGATAATTCAGTGATACGAAATGTAGCATTTCTTTCAGTGGATTTCTTTTTAATATTGAACCATTCAGAAGAGGAATTCAGTAGAATATGAGGAATATGTTTAGCTAAAGCTAATATTAATCCACAAGTATATTCAGTTGTTGATATGATATTTCCATATGGTGCATTTATAACTAGAATTCCATGCTCTTGTGCTGTGATACAATCGATAGTATCCACATTCCCACCAGTTCGAACAATTATTCGTAGACCGAATTTACATGCCAATTTTAAAATCTGATCACTAATTGGAGTAGTTGAACTGATAATGAGAACACTAGCAGAAGATGATTGTAAAATATATAAGAGACGATCTTCAGAAACACAACTTTCTTTAAGATCATAAACAGTTAGACCATGATCTGTCAGTAGGTCGACCGCCAATTCAACCAAATTGTCAGCGATAACAATATTATTCAAAACAGGAAGTAATGACA